TGATGATGTGATTATGAATGATAATGTTGGTGGTGATCTATCCTCCGTCATATCATGGTGTAATCTTTTTTTACTTTCATCATCATTGTTATCATCATCATCTTTGTTATTATCATTCCTTGTGCTGATGATAATGACTGCAATTACTGCCATTAGACTATGGACAGTCATTTTTTTCATCATCTTTTTTCATCTTCATCTTCCTCCTCATCATCACCATCAACACTTCGTCTTCAAATAGAACACAGATATATTTAGTTGCAGTGAGGTCATTCAGTTATTTTTAGCCACTCAATGGACGTTCAGCCAATCATTTCCTCTTGGTCCTTCACCTTATGTTTGCAAATTTTTCATTAAGGTTTGTATCGTATGGTATTATTATCGTGTTTTTGTATTACTGTATTGTATGTATGGTATTATTATTGTATTTTTGTATGGTATTATCAATGTATTTTTTGTTTTGTGTTTTGTCGTATGTAGTGTTAAGTTGTATAAAAATGTTCTGTATTTTCATTGACGTTGTTGTATTTTTGTGGTATGGTTTTATTGTATTATAGTTTTGTGCTTTTTTTTCTTCTGTGTATTATGTTGTATTAACTTTATGTTGTATTAAAGTGGTACATTGTATCATCTGTGGGATATTGTAATTTTTTAAAAATTGCCAATGTGTGCAAATTAAGTTGCTTATCATATAGTGTGTAAATCACATTACTAATTATAGTTGTTAAGTTACACTGCTAGAGTGTAGGTTACATTACTAATCATAGCGTAATTACGTCTTATTGTTTTGTTTACACAGTATTGCAAGGAGTGCTGCCAACATTCACAGCTGCGAGATGTGTATTATGATCTGGTTGAATGGACTCTGAAGCATAATGTTGTTAGTTTGGTTAATTTATCTTCCATACTGGCTGTGGTGATGAAGGAGAGTTGATGAGCGTGAGGAGGACGATGAATGTGTATTAAATGGTTACACATAGAGGTGATGATGCTGGTGATGATATGGTGATTTCAACAGTTGTGAAGATGAAGAGGACAGATTTGATGATGTGAATGACGATGATGTTAGCTGCGAAAATGAAAAAGATGATAGAGATGCTGAGAATGATGATAATAATTGTGATATTTATGAGTTTTAAAATTGTCATTTGATAATTGCAACATTTGTGAAATAGTCTTATCTTTATCTGGCTTAAAATTTTTGTAAAAAATCCCATTGGCTAGTTAGTTGATGATAAAATTTATAAATTTTCAAACTTTTAATTAAAAATGATCGATACTAATTAATCTTTTTTTAAAAATACTCAATCAATGTTCAACAAAAAATTTATTGTACACAGAATTTCAGTTATGCCCCAAGCAACAGAGTCCTAATATGTGGATACATTGACAACATCATCACACAACAGCAACAACAACAATCCCGTTTAGATTTGCATTCATTCGTTGACAATTTCATTCATAAGTTTGTAGTCAGGCAGAATTTTAAAATTAATTAAATGACAAAGAAGAATTTAAATATAAAATTTTTTGCATGTATGTATTGTGTGTGTGTTTTTATTTTGTTGTTGTTGTCCTCAACTTTAATGAATTTTTGCAGGGTTTCATTTTTTTCTTTTTGAAAAATAAACTGTTTAGAATAAGTAGATTTTTTGTATCAGTTGTATTTGTTTTATTATTCATTTGTATGGTTATGTTTTTTTTTTAGTTTGGTTTGTTGGTGTTTGCATTTTTTTAATTATAGTTTTATTTTTATTAGTATTAAAAATTTAAAAACAATGTAAAATAAATGATTGTGAAAATTTATAACAAATTAATTTATTTATTGACTTCAGTTACCATAAAAAAACCGTATAATGCAAAATATGATTGAACTGATTAACCACGCAGACACAAACACACACACACCACACACACACACATGTGAACACACACAGACATGCATACACACATATACACACATACATATACATACGCACATCTAATAGGATCCATGGTTCCTTCAGTAAGTGCCCTCACCTAAACTGTCTTCGTAATCTCTTCTCAATCTCAGCTGATGTTATCTCTCAACATTTCAACTGTTACAATTCTAAGTGAGTGAGAGAGTGAGTGAGTGAGTGAGTGAGTGAATGATTGAATAAGTATGGCGGGTGAATGAGTGAGGGAATGAAAGAGTGAGTAAATGAGTGAGAAGGATTAACGATGCATGAGATGTTGGTAGTGATTTTGGGATTGTTGAAGCAGGTGAGGATGATCGTGATTGATGATGAAAATTTGAAAATGATGTAACGTCTTGACAAAACAACACCCACAGGCCGCCTACAAACTTCCAGTCATCATCTCCATCATCTGTATTATCATCATCATCCAATGTTATCGTCACTTTGGGTAATGGTGATGATAATGATAATAATAATAATAATAATAAAGTTGATAATGATGATAATGATGGTTGTTGTGGTGTTGATGTAAATTTACAAACTATCAAAGAAAATGATAACGGTGAGAAAGTGATAAAGAGAGAGAGAGATGAGAGTGACGTCAGAGAAAGAGAAATAAAAGTTTCCGATGCTACTGTTACTACTACTACTACTACTGCTGCTGCTAATACTGCTGCTGCTGCTGCTACTACTACTACTACTACTACAACGACTACTACTGTTAATAATAATAATAATAATAAACCGGTGGTTTATTATGAAATTTTAACTGCTCTGTGAGTGTTTGTTTATTAATAAAATTGATTATCATTTATTATATCTTTTGATGAATATTTTTGTAGTTTTTTTTTCAATATTTTGAATTGCTATTATTATTCTTCTTCTTATTATTATTACTATTATTATTATTTTGTTTAAAATTTTATGGCCGAAATCTTTTAATGAAAAATTGATTAACGCGGTAATTAGCTCGTCATATAGCATATATTGTGACAGAAACACTACTTAACCGATTTTAAATATATTTTTTTTTACTCTCAAGCACTTGTTGATCAAAGAGCATGAGAGGATCGTACATTATATTTTATTTATTTACACTCTAACATATAATTAATATTCCATTTGGATTTTGTTTTTCGGTAAATAAAAGAATGTTCCAATAATTATGACAGATCTAGATGTTATGATTGGCTAGCTGAGCTGGCTAGTTATGTCCAACTTGTACCATTTCCCTCTAGGTAAGTTTCGTTATTGTTGTTATTATTTTCATTATTACTTATGTTATTGTAGTTGTTATCATTTTAATGTTATTTTTTATCTTATTTATTACCTCGTATCATCGCTATATATATGCGTGAAAAAATTCCCACAAAATAGCTCTTAAATAGATTTCAAATGGCTTATTGAGAAGTTGTATTTTTTGTTTCTGAATTTTAGCTGACCAATCAGTTGATCAATTATTCCACTAATCAATCATTCAATTAATCAGTCATTTAATTAATTAATTAATCAATCAAAGGACTAATTTTATAATCAATCAACTAATTAATCAATCAATCAATCAAATTCAATCAGGGCATTGTCAGATGAAACTTTTCTCAAGTTTGTTCTTTTCACTATGACCTCTAACATAAAGATATTTCCTCATATATTTATACTCATTACACTGGATTGTAATGTTTACAATTTTTTATTCTTTGAATCACAGGTACATGGAGATCTTTCTCAAAAACATTGTGGCCGACAAGAGGTGCCCGGTCCACCAATCGGTAATCAGGTCAAAGTTGGAAAAACCAGGCTGGCTTGATTTGTGCTCCACTGATTGGTCAAACAATGATTTACACTCAAAAATGGTGACAATGTATTTGATTGTTTCGACATTTGATAATGTTATCATCGTATTATTAACTGTATAGTTTATTTTTGATATTTATTTATTATAGATTATTAAATATTTGATTGAATTTTCACTGTAAATAGCTTGATGCACTGCTGAATTGCTGCTGCTACAGAAGAAAGTTCTTCAAATCACACACACACCTCCTACCTCATTGGATTGCAATGGCAGCTAACAATGATAAAAATGCTATAAAGGTTAATTAGCAAATATTGGGAAATATTAATTTTGGAAAATAATGAATCAATGGACACAAATTATTTAACCTTAAGTTACTGTCGGAAATTTTCATCTTTTTTTTATTTAAAAAACAATTTTTAATAATTGTACGACGTCAATCAGGCATTGTGCGGTTGTCTGGAGTACGACGTGCTGCCAGCTGACACTGACCTCCATGCAGATCTTATGACCACACTGTCATCCTCACTCGTTGGCAAGGTGGAGTTGGATAGGTTAAACAAGAGATTGGAGGAGAGAAGAGTTTATGTTAGTTTTTTTTCTGGGAAGAGGAGGGCTGTCGCTTGGAAATTTTTCAATTCTGTTGTGGCATCAGAATAATAATTATATTCTTCAATATTGATGTTAGCTCAGTTTCAAAAATTCTTCTATCTTTTGAAATTTTTTGATAGCATTTTTTGATGCCACAGTAACAACACTCAACCAAATAATAAAAATAGAACAGTACCTAACCAAACAATAATAATAATAATAGAATTATCATCCTATCATCACGCAGCAAAGTGGGTTAGGTCCAAGGAAGTTAAGTTTGCCGTCGCGGTCAACTGACCTAGATTTGAAGAGGATGCTGGAGTCAGGTTGTTATGGAAACGTTGAACAATTAAGTCTGGCCTTCACTAAGTGCACTGCCCTCTGTGCGCAAGATATCATTCACCTGACCTCATTAAGGGAGCTTAACCTTTGGTCCACTCAGGTCAGGGAGATGTCAATTAATTAGGACGAGTGTAATTGGCGTTTAATCTTTACCCTTTTTTTTTAATGTGTCTTGGTTGGGTTTCTATTGATTACTTTACTAGTTAATTAATAATGCATCATGAAATATTTTAAGAAGGTTATTTATTTCGAGCTAGACTTAGTTTTATTCGTTTTTATTAATATTTTTAAAAATCTCGTTGTTAAAAAAATTTTTTTTTGACCAAACACAGTTCACGGATTCAGGGCTTCAGTTAATCAGTGACCACTTGGACAATCTGGAGGTCCTGAACCTCTGTGAGACGTTGGTCACTAGCCAAGGCATACTATGCCTTGCTTGTAAGTCTCGTCGGGGTGATCCGTCTGTCTGTTTATGTGTTGTGCTGTGTGTGTGTCGATGTGTGTGCATGTTGGTGTGTATGTGATTATTTAAAGTTGGGTGATTAAAATAGGATTGGGAGGATGATGTTGGTGGTTGTAAGTGATGATAACGTGGCAGCAAGTTATAGTGATGATAGCAGCAGGAGCAGTAAATATTATGCACTTGAGTCAGGCTTTTTTCAAAACAAAAATTTTTAATGATAAAAAACAACCATTTTGTTTTCATGATACTTTTTCAATTTCATCTGCATATTCAACCTGGTAGTATTCCGCTCTTACTCTGTGCTAGCAATGTTTTTTTAATTAAGAGTAATTATTTTAATGATAGTGATATGAAGGGAAGACAATGTCGTCAACTTGATTAACTATATTATATTTTATCAATTAAATGAATATTTGTTTTAAATGATCATTTTTTTCATTATTTTTTCAATTATCTTAAGTTTTTTCAATATTTTTTTTTACCACCATTTTTTCCACCCACCCAGCTCTGAAAAATTTGCGAATAGTCAACTTGAACAGCACGGCCGTCTCATTGAGTGACTATGAGAAGCTCAAAGAATTGTTGCCTAACTTGACTGACGTTGACGTCAAGTATACAGATGCAGATCTATCTTGCTAGTTCAGATTAGTGGATGGACTGATAGGCGGATGAATGAGTGCTAGATAGATATCGAGGAGACAGACACTTGGATTTTCTATCGAAAAGTTGTTTAGTGGATGGATAGATGGATGGATGGATTGATATACTTGATGGATTGACGTTTTTATCCGTCGTTCTTAGATGAAAGAGAGAGATGATGGATGGATTGAATGGATGACTAATGAAGTTTACTAAAAAATTTTGGGACCAACATTTTATGTTTCCTTAAAAATAGGAAAACAGTTTTGTTGTTTGCATTGAAATCAGATGAATCGGATGATGATTAATAGTGACGACGACGACGACGATGATGATGATGCTAATGATAATATTGGCATAAATGAGGATTATGGAAATGTGATTAATAATGGCAACGAAAGTGATGACATTTACGATGATTATGCAGATGAGTTTAGTTAGTAATTGTGAAGAAGGTAGGTGGGTAATTAGGCCTAATCATGCTGAAACGTTCCAATATCAGTTTACACCCTGGCTCTCCACTCCATACGATGAAATAGTCCTGGTTGTATAATACATTTCAATGGTGGCTAAATAATAATTGCATAACGTATATATTAATATGTATATATATTCCAGTATTCTTTGTTCTTTTTTTTTATTTATCAACCTCTCTCTTGTTTCTCCATTTATCTTTGATATCTTTATTTAAAATTGTTAATATATATGTATGTATATGTATATATTTGTTGAGGTGTTTAAACTTTTATAAATGTTTAATCCATTTCCAGCTTATGATATCCACTTTGGAATGAATTTGACAAATTTATTGTAAATATAGATTATAAATATGTTTATATATCTGTTTATATGTTTATTTATTTACTTGTGTATAAGTCTGTATATTGCTATTAATATATATCTTTCATGAATAATTTTTTTGACGATTGAGATGATGATGATGATGGTGACGACGACGATGGTGATGATGGTGATTGTGATTACGTTGATTGCATGTAAAGGAGGTCGCTAGTTGTGATATAATTAGTCAAACTATAATAATAATAATAATAATAATTATTATTATTATTGTAATAATAATAAATATATTTATTTTTTATTCCTTTTTTTAATGACGTTTCTAGAAGACCACCATATACATCTGAGATGATGATAAAATATGATACACGTTTTTCATATTAATGACGACGACGACGATGGTGATGATAATCTTGGTGAGGATGATAACGATGAGGATGATGATAACGATGATGATGACGAGGATGATGATGTGATTAAAAGTGGATCGTCCTTCTCTTTGTGGACCATATTCAAAAATGCCTTCAATGAATTATATTAAGGCATATACATCTTAATATTCTTATATACACTATATATATATGTATATATATATATATATGTATATGTTGGTAATAGACCATAATTTTTACAATATTCTATAAATTCTACCGAATGTTTGGCGTTAATATGTTTGTAGTTCGTTTTTTCGATTTTTCTCACTAAAGTTTTTTGGTGAACGTTTAGTTTATTAAAATTCAAAATAAACTTATTTTCCGAATTATTGCAGC